AGGGCTTTTATTTGAACAAAACTTTGTAGACACTCACTAGAAGATGTTTCATGCTTAATATCTTAGCTCTAGCTCTATTGGTTTTTTAAAAGAAGATTTTTTAAGTTTTCACTATATGCATATACGGAAAATCAATGACCCCCTGGGGCGGGGCCAATTTTGACCCCTGGGCTTTTATTTGAACAAATTTGGTAGACACTCATTAGAAGATGTTTCATGCTAAATATCTTAGCTCTAGCTCTTTGGGTTCTTTAAAAGAAGATTTTTTAATTTTTTACTATATGCATATAGGGAAAATCAATGACCCACTGGGGCCCCGCCAATTTTGACCCCAGGGCTTTTATTTGAACAAACTTGGTAGACACTCATTAGAAGATGTTTCATGCTAATATCTTAGCTCTAGCTCTTTAGGTTCTTTAAAAGAAGATTTTTTTAAAGTTTTTACTATATGCTTATAGGGAAAATCAATGACCCCCTGGGGCCCCGCCAATTTTGACCCCAGGGCTTTTATTTGAACAAACTTGGTAGACACTCACTAGAAGATGTTTCATGCCAAATATCTAATCTCTAGCTCTTTGGGTTTTTTAAAAGAAGATATTTAAAAAAATTCTTTCGGTTGCCATGGCAACCAGAGTTCTGCATGGAATTAAATTCTTTGAACAAGTTTTAAAGGTGACCACCAAAGGAACATTCCTGTGAATTTTGGATGAAATTGGCTTAGTGGTTTATGAGGAGATGTCATTTAAAGTAAAAGTTTATGGACGGACGAACTACGGACGGACGCCGGACGAAAAGTGATCAACAAAGCTCACCCTGTCACTTTGTGAGAGGTGAGTTAAAAACCTCTACTTCATTTCAACTTTCTAGAAATTTTCTAAGCCTAATCTCAGATCTCACATATTTGATTGGTCAAAAACCAGCACAGAATGTGCACAGACCAATGAAAATTGAAAATCCTGAGTTTTGAAACAAGTGTTTAGATCAATGTTTTATCATCTCCAGGCCAGTACTGGTAAAATATATATATGCATCTACCATCAGCTTCCGGTAAAGATCAGATTACATGTTTCTCGGTCGAAGGTAACTGCTGGATTTTTTAGGGGCTATTTTTTTTTTACTTAGAGAAGGATATGAATGTACAACTTCATTCATAATGGCTGAATAACTTCATCCTTAGCATCAACTCATTTATAAAGGTGTCTGGGTTAAATCATTTTAAAGCAAGTGACTTAGCTTCCACCAAGGCTGTAAAATGGAATTTTATAGCACTCTGGTTCAAACATTAGAAATCTAGTCGTATATGCAAGAATTGTGGTTATTCAACAAAAGACGCGCTGCAAAATATATTAAACAAGCAATTATCATAGTATTGCAAGCAATCCATAAGTCCCCTACCGGTAAGAGCCCAAGCAACATTCTGAAGGGCCATTGGCCATTCACTTATGTTCCTATTTTAAGTAAATTTGTTGAAAAAGTTCTTTAAAAGTGATCACAGGAAACAGTTTTTATGTACAGACAGAAGGACTGAAGGACACTCTAAAGTTATTTTTTTTAAACATCCCTGTTATCAAAATATTACATTTTTTTTAAAATCCTATCATGATTGAAGAAGTTGGAGTATTAATTACCAATTTCTCAAAAAAAAGTCTAAGTTCAAAAGGGGCATAATTCTGGAAATAGTCTTGCTAGAGTATTGAACACTCACAAATGTTGAGTGATAATAAGAAACATTTATATGAAGTTTGAAGTAGATACATTCAGAAAAAGAAGTTATTAAAAAAAACAATGTTTTTTTCATGAAAATTTTAAGTTCAAGGGAGGTAATTCTAATAACTTTTGTGCTAGAGTTGTAAACCTTGTCATCACATATTGATGTGGTTGATGACAAGCAACTTATATTTAAAGTTTGAAGAAAATACCTTAAGAAATAAAGAACTTATAGTGAAAAAACTTAAAAACTAGAATCAGAAATCTTGAAATTAGACTATTTGTTGCCATAGCAACCAGAATTTTCAACATAGGAAGATAAGAAAAGGATGTGCATAATTTCCATACTGCCATCTACCATATGTCAAATTTCAAAAAATATTTTCAGTACTTTCTGTGTTATCACTGGATCCAGGTTATGTGTAAAATTTGCCATATTTTCAGTCTATTTGTTGCCATAGCAACCAGAATTTCCAACATAGGAAGAAAAGAGAAAAGACGTGCATAATCTCCATACTGCCATCTATCCATATATCAAGTTTCATAAAAATATTTTCAGTACTTTTTGCGTTATCGCGGGATCCAGGTTATGTGTAAAATTTGCCATATTTTCAGTCTATTTGTTGCCATAGCAACCAGAATTTTCAACATAGGAAGAAAAGAAAAAGACGTGCATAATCTCCATACTGCCATCTATCCATATACCACGTTTCATGAAAATATTTTAAGTACTTTTTGCGTTATCGCGGGATCCAGTTTTGTGGACGGACGGACTGAGGGACGGACGGACGGACGGACGGACAGACGGACGGAGGGGTAAACCTAAAGTCCCCTCCGGTAAACCGGTAGGGGACTAATAAAAACTAACCGTCCAATCAGATTGGACTCATCTGTGCTGGAACCATCGTACAGGGCCACTGAATCGTAGATACAATTTCGATGCTGCTCTATACTAAATGTATGAAAGGTGAATCGCACCACAAGACCGGGCTGTACTAGAATACTCCACGAACAGTTCACTCCGTGTGGATATACATTAGGATGGCCAGGAGACTGTATACTTCCTGTAATAGTTACATAAATCTGTGTAGTGTTTTCATAATAAATGTATAAAAGTCACGTCTGAGAATCTGTTTTCTTTATCTACTTGTTTTTCGAAAAAAAACTTAATCATGCCGGGCCATTGTCCTGTAGGCTATTATATCATATATACATGTATATCCTTTCTGTACCTACTTACCATTGTTTTTGTTAAAAGGATTGTTTAAGAAATTCCAATACATGTATCTAAGGAACTGATTTCTGACAAGATTTCTGACACGATTTGAGTGATATTTGAAATTTTTTTAGTGAATAAAGGGGGATAATTATGTAAAAATATAGCAGGTTAAGCGCCCATCATGAATCAGAAATACTTTTATTTTTATTCTTCAAAATGCTTATATTTTTGGAGTCTTGTTATAGTTTCCAAAAAGTTAGCCATTTACCAATTACCTGAACCTTTTTTTTCCGTCTGTTATTTTATTTTAGCGATAAGTACAATATAGTGATTTAGCGTTTTATATGAAAGTCAAAATACTACTTTGTTTACACTTTGCTACTGAAATGACAATCTCGCATAAAGCACCACTTCTTTTAGGTGGTAGGCATGTAACATGCTCGTAAACCATTATTTAAATAATACAAAACTCTTGTTTGCATATCATAAATAAAGAAAAATCAATTTTTTTTGAGGCATAAAGATTAATAACCCAACCTAAGTATTCACACATACCTGTTTCATCAGTGAGTTGGCCTCCACATCCGCCCTCGCCAGCTTCATACGTCGCCTCAAATCCTAGGTTCTGAACCGACCCGTCTGTAACAAACTTTAGATACATAAGATTTCCGGTTGTTGTCTGAGGGTCCGGTACTTGCGGGCCACAAAATGTTCCCATTACAGGGGAGCTACTTGAACCTCCATCCCGAACCTGGAAAACAAAAACAATATTTTTCAGTGAGCTTTTCATTCCATTGTATCATGCATACAATAATCTATCAATATGGCCGTGCCCATCGTAAAACAATAGTCTGAATAATGTAGATTTTTCTAAGTTCAAAAAGGGCCATCATTTTGTCAAAATTCATGTAAGAATTATGGGCCTTGGTCACTGAGCAATCCCATTCATAAGTTAATAATACATAAAATTATACATAATAAATTTTGTAAAACAAGAGGGCCATAATGGCCCTGAGGACGCTCACCTGTATATAGCCCCCCCCCCCCCCCCCCCGGCCAATTTTTACCCAAGGGCTTTTATTTCAACAGACTTGGTAGACACCCATAAGAAGATGTTTCATGCTAAACATCTAAGTTCTAGCTCATTGGGTTTTTTAAAAGAAGATTTTTTAAGTTTTTACTATACACATATAGTTAAAAACAATGACACCCCTGGGGCAGGGCCAGTTTTGACCCCCGGGCTTTTATTTGAACAAACTTTGTAGATATTTACTTAAAGATGTTTCATGTATAATATCTAAACTCAAGCTATTTGGGATTTTTCAAAGAAGATTTTTAAGTTTTTGCTATACACATATAAGGAAAATCAATGACCCCCGGGGCGGGGCCAGTTTTGACCCCAGGGCTTTTATTTGAACATACTTGGTAGACACCCATTAGAACATGTTTCATGCTCAATATCTTAGCTCTAGCTCTTTGAGTTCTTTAAAAGAAGATTTTTTAAGTTTTTACTATATGCATATAGGGAAAATCTATGACCCCCTGGGACGGGGCCAATTTTGACCCTAGGGCTTTTATTTGAACAAACTTGGTAGACACTCATTAGAAGATGTTTCATGCCAAATATCTAAGCTCTAGCTCTTACGGTTCTTTAAAAGAAGATTTTTTAAGTTTTTACTATATGCATATAGGGAAAATCAATGACCCCCCGGGGCGGGGCCAATTTTGACCCCAGGGCTTTTATTTGAACAAAATTGGTAGACACTCACTAGAAGATATTACATGTCAAATATCTTAGCTCTAGCTCTTTGGGTTCTTTAAAAGAAGATTTTTTAAGTTTTTACTATATGCATATAGGGAAAATCTATGACCCCCTGGGGCCCCGCCAATTTTGACCTCAGGGCTTTTATTTGAACAAACTTGGTAGACACTCATTAGAAGATGTTTCATGCTAAATATCTTAGCTCTAGCTCTTTGGGTTCTTTAAAAGAAGATTTTTTAAGTTTTTACTATATGCATATAGGGAAAATCAATGACCCCCTGGGGCGGGGCCAATTTTGAGCCCAGGGCTTTTATTTGAACAAACTTGGTAGACATTCACTAGAAGATGTTTCATGCCAAATATTTAAGCTCTAACTTTAACAGTTCTTTAAAAGAAGATTTTTTAAGTTTTTACTATATGCATATAGGGAAAATCAATGACCCCCCGGGCCGGGGCCAATTTTGACCCCAGGGCTTTTATTTGAACAAACTTGGTAGACACTCACTAGAAGATGTTTCATGCCAAATATCTTAGCTCTAGCTCTTTGGGTTCTTTAAAAGAAGATTTTTTAAGTTTTTACTATATGCATATAGGGAAAATCAATGACCCCCTGGGGCGGGGCCAATTTTGACCCTAGGGCTTTTATTTGAACAAACTTGGTAGACACTCATTAGAAGATGTTTCATGCCAAATATCTAAGCTCTAGCTCTTAGGGTTCTTTAAAAGAAGATATTTAAAGATTTTTCTTTCGGTTGCCATGGCAACCAGAGTTCTGCATGAAATGGAATTCTTTGAACAATCTTGATAGAGCTTCATACAAAGAGTATTCCTGCCAAGTTTCATTAACATTGGCCTTGCGGTATCATAGAAGATGTCCTTAGAATATTTAAAATGTGGACGGACGACGGACGCCATTTGGTTGGCCATCCTAAAAGCTCACCTGCACTTTGTGCAAGGTGAGCTAAAAACTTGTATATGTACGACAAACTACAAATACATATATGGTGTTAGATTATATTAGATAATATAGATTTGGATATACATGGATATCACAAACTGTTGGTGAATATAAATTGTTTATTAAAATGTTTAGAAACAGACTGATAGATTGTATTGCTCAGAACTGGCATGATAATGTAAATAGCACAAGTCGGTGCCTGGTCATTTATAATAACCAATTTAAGAGTTTTAATTATTTGTTTGTTTGTTTGACTGGGTTTTTTTCCTCACACAAACACAGTATAGGTCATAAGGCGTGGATGCGCAGGCTGGTCTGGATCCATGCTGGTCGCAAACCCATTATGTTGGTTTTGTCGTGACGCGGCTCATATAAATGTTACTGTTATATTGACATAACCATTTATGAATGCTGTTTTAATGGTTTGATATAATCATTTTGGGCCGGAGGCCTTTAATTATGAAATAAATAGTTGAGTTGTTTATTCACAGCATAAATCTGTTGATAATTATGATAAAATATATAATGGATAGTGTAAATATACATATTCCTGTTTATTCACTGTATAAACTTATTGATAATTATGATAATTATTATAATTATTTTTATGTTGCATTGGTTATCATAATTAACAGATTGGCAGTCCATATCATCGATTGAACAATGCTGTTAATATGCTGTTGTTTTTTCAGCCTGTAGATAAAAATATCCCACTGACGGTGGAACCGGTTGTTTCAGAACGTCTGTTGTATTGGATATAAATAAAACCCCTATATTTCAGTAGTTTATGTTTTAAAAAAGACTTACATTTTTCTGTTACCATGGTTTCATTATTGTCCGTAATAACAGTTACCTTAGGAACATCTTTTTTAACCTTTTATTTTTTTAACAAAATTTAAACCTTATAACTCAGTGCTTAACAATATCTTGTGACACATTCTGGAAAAATGAAAATCCCTCAAGAAAAATGAACATAAAACAAGAGGGCCATGATGGCCCTGAGGTCGCTCACCTGTATATAGGCCTCCCAACCCCCCCCCCCCCCCCAACGTTGCAGGGCCAATTTAACCCAAGGCTTTTATTTGCACAAACTTGGTAGACACCCATAAGAAGATGTTTCATGCTAAACATCTAAGCTCTAGCTCATTGGGCTTTTTAAAAGAAGATTTTTTTTAAGTTTTTACTAATACACATATAGTTAAAAACAATGACACCCCTGGGGCCGGGCCAGTTTTGACCCCATGGCTTTTATTTGAACAAACTTTGTAGACACTTACTAGAAGATATTTCTTGCTTAATATCTAAACTCTAGCTATTTGGGTTTTTTCAAAGAAGATTTTAAGTTTTTGCTATACACATATAAAGAAAATCAATGACCCCTGGGGCGGGGCCAATTTTGACCCCAGGTCTTTTATTTGAACAAACTTTGTAGACACTCACTAAAAGATGTTTCATGCTTAATATCTTAACTCTAGCTATTTGGGTTTTTTCAAAGAAGATTTTTTAAGTTTTTGCTATACACATAAAAGGAAATTCAATGACCCCCGGGGCGGGGCCAATTTTGACCCCAGAGCTTTTATTTGAACAAACTTGGTAGACACCTATTAGAACATGTTTGATGCTAAATATCTTAGCCATAGCTCTTTGAGTTCTTTAAAAGAAGATTTTAAGTTTTTACAATATGCATATAGGGAAAATCAATGACCCCCCGGGGCGGGGCCAATTTTGACCCCAGGGCTTTTATTTGAACAAACTTGGTAGACACTTATTAGAACATGTTTTATGCTAAATATCTTAGCTCTAACTCTTTTGGTTCTTTAAAAGAAGATTTTTTAAGTTTTTACTATATGCATATAGGAAAGATCAATGACCCCCTGGGGCGGGGACAATTTTGACCCCAGGGCTTTTATTTGAACAAACTTGGTAGACACCCATTAGAACATGTTTGATGCTCAATATCTTAGCCATAGCTCTTTGAGTTCTTTAAAAGAAGATTTTTTAAGTTTTTACTATATGCATATAGGGAAAATCAATGACCCCCCGGGGTGGGGCCAATTTTGACCCCAGGGCTTTTATTTGAACAAATTTGGTAGACACCCATTAGAACATGTTTCATGCTAAATATCTTAGCTCTAGCTCTTTGGGTTCTTTAAAAGAAGGTTTTTTAAGTTTTTACTATATGCATATAGGGAAAATCAATGACCCCCTGGGGCAGGGCCAAATTTGACCCCAGGGCTTTTATTTGAACAAACTTGGTAGACACTCACTAGAAGATGTTTCATGCCAAATATCTAAGCTCTAGCTCTTATGGTTTTTTAAAAGAAGATATTTAAAGTTTTTTCTTTCGGTTGCTATGGCAACCAGAGTTCTGCATGGAATTAAATTCTTTGAACAATTTTTAAAGGTGACCACCAAAGGAACATTACTGTGAAGTTTGGATGAAATTGGCTTAGTGGTTTATGAGGAGATGTCATTTAAAGTAAAAGTTTACGGACGGATGACGGACGGACGGACGACGGACGGACGACGGACGGACGCCGGACGAAAAGCGATCACAAAAGCTCACCCTGTCACTTTGTGACAGGTGAGCTAAAAAACAAAATCAGTTGGTGAAGATCACAGATTTCTTGCAATATCAGACAGGATTATCTACCGTTTACTCTGGTGGAAGAAAACCCTGTCTTAGACCCCCTCTTAGCTTTAAATGACGTCATTGCCGCGCGCATTTTATGAATGAATTGCATTCTTAGGATGACGTCACTTAACCGTTATGAATGAAGTTGTAAGTTCATATGCTACTATAACAAACAAGAGGGCCATGATGGCCCTGAGGTCGCTCACCTGTATATAGCCCCCCCACCCCTCGGGCCAATTTTTACCCAAGGGCTTTTATTTGTTTATTTGAACAGACTTGGTAGACACCCATAAGAAGATGTTTCATGCTAAACATCTAAGTTCTAGCTCATTGGGTTTTTTTAAAAGAAGATTTTTTAAGTTTTTACTATACACATATAGTTAAAAACAATGACACCCCTGGGGCAGGGCCAGTTTTGACCCCCCGGCTTTTATTTGAACAAACTTTGTAGATATTTACTTAAAGATATTTTATGCTTAATATCTAAACTCTAGCTATTTGGGTTTTTTTCAAAGAAGATTTTTAAGTTTTTGCTATACACATATAAGGAAAATCAATGACCCCCGGGGCGGGGCCAGTTTTGACCCCAGGGCTTTTATTTGAACATAGTTGGTAGACACCCATTAGAACATGTTTCATGCTAAATATCTTAGCTCTAGCTCTTACAGTTCTTTAAAAGAAGATTTTTTAAGTTTTTACTATATGCATATAGGAAAAATCAATGACACCCTGAGGCGGGGCCAATTTTGACCCTAGGGCTTTTATTTGAACAAACTTGGTAGACACTCATTAGAAGATGTTTCATGCCAAATATCTTAGCTCTAGCTCTTTGGGTTCTTTAAAAGAAGATTTTTTAAGTTTTTACTATATGCATATAGGGAAAATCAATGACCCCCCGGGGCGGGGCCAATTTTGACCCTAGGGCTTTTATTTGAACAAACTTGGTAGACATTCACTAGAAGATGTTTCATGCTTAATATCTAAGCTCTAGCTCTTACGGTTCTTTAAAAGAAGATTTCTTAAGTTTTTACTATATGCATATAGGGAAAATCAATGACCCCCCCGGGCGGGGCCAATTTTGACCCCAGGGCTTTTATTTGAACAAACTTGGTAGACACTCACTAGAAGATGTTTCATGCCAAATATCTTAGCTCTAGCTCTTTGGGTTCTTTAAAAGAAGATTTTTTAAGTTTTTACTATATGCATATAGGGAAAATCAATGACTCCCTGGGGCGGGGCCAATTTTGACCCCAGAGCTTTTATTTGAACAAACTTGGTAGACACTCATTAGAAGATGTTTCATGCCAAATATCTAAGCTCTAGCTCATAGGGCTGTTTAAAAGAAGATATTTAAAGATTTTTCTTTCGGTTGCCATGACAACCAGAGTTCTGCATGGAATTTAAATTTTTAAAGGTGACCACCAAAGGAACATTCCTGTGAAGTTTGGATGAAATTGGCTCAGTGGTTTATGAGGAGATGTCATTTAAAGCAAAAGTTTACGGACGGACGACGGACGGACGGACGACGGACGGACGCCGGACGAAAAGCGATCACAAAAGCTCACCCTGTCACTTTGTGACAGGTGAGCTAAAAAGTGCATAATGAGAATATAAGTTTTCGTAGTTTCTGTTCTGAAAATAATTGATATGTAATATGCAAGAAAAAGAATCAAACACCGGCTGTCGGTGCAGACGGGAATATCTAGCTCTCGGGTAACTGTTTAGTGGAAACTTGGCAGAGCCTCGTTACCGCCGAAAACAGTCACCCTCCAGCTAGATATTCCGGTCTGTAACGGCAGCCGGTGTAAGATTCATACAAGAGCCATGTCAACATGGCCATCCCCCGCCGAATGTGTTTGCTCATTGGAAGAATGTATATGTAGTAGAGCGGAATAATTCCATTTTAAGAGGTCTTTTGGTAATGAAAACTGATGGCTATAGTGATTACAGATTTGAAACCTATGTGAATACTGATGGCTGAAAATAACAAAGGGCAATTACTGAAAAATAATGCAGGGTAGGTTATCATTCTTGTGTGCTGCATCCCTCCTCAGTAAAATCTATCCACCTATGAAGTTTCAAGTTGATACCTCAAATACTTTTTGAGAAAAAAAATGAATTGAAAAATTAAGTATGAAAAAGAACAAAGTAACTCAAAAATTATAAAAGGTAAAGTTATCATTCTTGTGCAGTGCACACCTCCTGAGTGAGATCTATGCACCTATGAAGTTTCATTTTGATATCTCAAAGGCTTTTTGAGTTATGCTCTGGACAAAAATTAATTTTGAAAAATAACAAAGGGCAATAACTCAAAAATAATGCAGGGTAGAGTTATCATTCTTAAGCACTGCACTCCTCCTTAATGAGATCCATCCACATATGAAGTTTCAAGTTGATACCTCAAATACTTTTTGAGATAAGCTCTGGACAAAATAGCATGAAAAAAAAAACAAAGGGCAATAACTCAAAAATTGTATAGGGAAGAGTTATCATTCTTGCGCACAACATTCCTCCTCAATAAGGTCTATCCACCTATGACATTTCATGTTGATATCTCAAACACTTTTTGAGTTATGCTCCACTCAGGTGAAAAATTAGGTATGAAAAATAACAAAGGGCAATAACTCAAAAATTATGAAAGGTAGAGTTATCATTCTTGTGCACTGCACACCTCCTGAGTGAGATCTATGCACCTATGAAGTTTCATGTTAATATCTCATAGGCTTTTGGAGTTATGCTCTGGACAAAAATCAATTTTGAAAAATAACAAAGGGCAATAACTCAAAAATCATGCAAGGTAGAGTTATCATTCTTGTGCACTGCACTCCTCCTCAATGAGGTCTATCCACCTATGAAGTTTCAAGTTGATAACTCAAATACTTTTAGAGATATGCTCCGGACAAAAATGTCGGACGGAAGGACGGACGGACGGACGGAAGGACGGAAGGTCGGACGGACGGAGACTATTACTATATCCTCCGCCGAAATTTTTCGGCGGGGGATAATAATCACGGGTGTGACACAGTGTTTGGTCATGAGATACAAGAGCTGTCACAGGTTAGTAACCAGGGCCACATCTTATCAACAATCGTACAATTTTGAAATTCCTACAATAATGGAAATCTGCGGCGTTTGATAAGACACCAGCAATATCGTATAAGTGACATATGACAATCAAAAATAAAAATGGATGTACAAACATTGATAAGACAGTCCCTTGATATGAAAAATAAGCACTGCCCATATTACCAGACTTTTTCCAGTAGCTTATATTCTCATTTTTACCAACTGGTCTTCGAAATCTTCGATGCTACCTCATATCCTTGCAAGTTTTGAATCAAGATGTAACTTTTATTTTGTTTTCAACTGCGGACAAATTAGATAGATACCAAATGTATGCGCGGATCATTCGGATTTCCAATAAAATTGATTTTTACATCAAGATTTTTCCCCCATCTGCAAAAATTCCTTGTTATTTACACCCAAATTTCCCTTTTCCCTACTTTTGAAAAAGGCCCGATTAAGTTAACATGAAATGTTATGAAAATTGACATAGAATATCTTAGGAAAAGAGCCACATATAGTTCAATATGTTTCTTTAGATATACATATTTTATCTAATTCTCAATTTTTCAATGCAAGAGTTATGGCCCTTGGCTTAAGTCAGCATAAGCTGTGAATTCAAAATTTTATTTCATTACTTACATTATCACAAACATAATTCTAAACTGGTAAATTAATGAACGACCTTCTCAAAGCCATCAAAATTGAAAAGAAATTGGCACCCAGCTTATTATTATTCTGCAGCCTTACCTCTAAATAGTCATATGCACAATTTCCCTCAGAGGGTCCTCCCTCAATGTCAAAGGTGTTGAATGTCAAGGTCACCCTAGTTCCAGCTGGCTGATTTATGAAATATTCACACTCTCTGTTACTGGGATAAGGTTCGGGGAAATAGGGAGACCGGATCATTCCAGTTGGTGAAGTGAAGACTCCTCCACAGGCTGAAAAAAAAAGCCAATAGGATAATTAAGAAATAATATCCCAAAAAGTGATTTTATCATTTTATAGATTTTATCATTTTATTGATTAAAACACTGTTTGGAGTTCGGATGCGAGTAATTATATCACAAGTTATGATGCTGCACATCCAAACAACAATAAAATCACTGATTTAGATATATAATTTGGATTCCAATAAATAAATGCTGCCGTACCTGATATCAAGCTATATTTTGCTTGATATGTTTCTGTACTTATTTTCAGCAAGTTGCATTTTTAATGTTTCATCACAAATTGTCTAAATAGAGATCCTCAACAGTAATTTTGTTGAATATTTACAGACACTTTAGTTCCTTCTAAGCATGTTTAATAGGGAAAAACACGTGCCATGTAGGAACATATTACGGGTACAAGTAAAACATCTTTTTAATGAGCAAATGACTGATACTGACAATAGTACATTAACATAATGCTTACATCACAGTCAAGGCAGGTATGGGTGAACCAAAAACTGTACCATTTCCACAATGGCATGTTACGTATTTGTTGATTGAATACTATCTCATAGTCATATCTATACTTTAAACATTAATTAACTTTGCTTATTTTCTTTTTAGAGCAAGGCCTTTTCTTGCTTAAGCTTACTGGGTCTATTTTTGTGAAAAGGTCCCTGGAATAATTCGGTAAAATATTTGGCATTTTGGGGCATTTGAGAAATCTTAAAAAGTTAAAATCTTACTCCTTATCACCTTACTCCTGACTTCTTAGATTTTAGAATTAGTTTTGGTGATAGAACATACTCTTTTTGTTCTAAATATAAACACCTTGGGAAATTAAAACAAAAGCTGTCAGTAGGACAGCATACTTGACTATTCTTAAAGCTTGATATTAAAGCACCAGTATGGATATTATACGACTTTTTAACGTCAAAAAGGGCCATCATTCTGTCAAAATCCCTATTAGAGTTATGGGCCTTGGGGCAGTGACCCCCTATTGTATTCTCAAATAAGTGTGTTTCAAAGTTACAACCCATTTCCTAGTAGTTTTGGAGATACCAACTTGCACACAGAAACTTAATCAAAGTTAAATGATGCAGACATGTGGGTGAGTACAATAGCTCTCCCTTTTCTTAAAATAGTCACACTAATATGTTTCAGGAAAGTTTCAAAGTCCTTGGGCAAATCCCACTTCCTTCCAAGTTCATAAAGGTCTGTAAAAAACAATATGACTTCAAGATAAAAGAAATACATTTTCATGAAAAACAAGGCTTAAATAGAGGATATTTGTTTAGTTCAGTGTAAGATCGGAATTTATTGCATATGTTACTATAATTAGTAACAAAAATGCGTTTCTTTTTTTTGAATATGCCATGCGAATATCCCGTATTTGAGCAAGTGTGCCAATATGCCATATTGGCGCACTTGCCAAGTGTGCCAAAATCCCATATTGAGGCTATTTCCGGTCATCACGCACCTGTTGCCAGTAACGGCAGAACGTCAGCGCGTATATACACGTTACGTAATTGACAACCGCATTGCAAAAAAAAAATGGCCGTAGAAAGGACGTTGCAATCTTTGGCGAATCGCTTGATGGATTTAGATAATATAATCGAACAACAAGGGCAGCCAGCTGACACTTTTGCTTTTTGTTGAAAGTATGAAAAACGATAATACAAAAAAGAAAACCAAAAGTGATATGAACAGACTGAATACTTGGTTTCAAACTGAAGGAGAAGAACGAGATATTTTAGAAATTCCTACCACTGAGCTAAATATGTTGCTTGCAAGGTTTTTTATGAACTTGAGAAAGGTAGATGGCTCCGAGTACGAGCCAGACAGTATGGGGAGCATTCTCGCCAGTGTCAACAGATATCTAAAGGACCACGACTACGGAATAAACATCATGACCAGTGATACGTTTAAGCACACCCGTGATGTGGTTGCGACTAAAAGGAAAATATCCAAATCCCACGGAAAAGGCAACAAGAAAAATCGTGCAGATCCATTCACTGGTGAAGAGATCGCAATTTTGAAGCAAAAGGGGCTTCTTGGCAATGGTAAGTAAAGGTCCATAAGTTAAATAGGCTATGTCTTAACATGCATCATTCTGAAAATGGCCCGTGTCATCTTTATAAAATCAGATCTAATAGCTCTTAGCCTACATGTTATATTTCTAATGTTCATAGAATGACATATCTGCAGTAGATCTAGATCCAGCTGTTATTCTAGTAATACTGTTTATAAATAAACTATCTACCTGGTCAATGATGAACAATCTGATGAAATCCACAACCACTAAATATCCTACATTATGATTAACACACAATAAAATCACTAAAATGTCTTGTTTACATTAATAGCCGTTCATGTACACTATACATAGACTACCACAGTAAAAGTGACGTCATGAAAACTGTGACGTATCGTCAATCAATACAACTGTCAATCAGTCATAATTATCAATTTATTGTTGTCAGCATTGGCTATTCTAGAAATTCGTAAAAACCAGCATAAGTTCTTTCGATCTCAATATGAATAATGGCAGATATACAATAGCAGGGTAACTAATTTACTGCCTTCTATCGCATAATACTGTTATAAGATTTATCTTTATTTTTATCAACTTACAGAAACGTCTGAAGCTTTGTCTAACACTATCTGGCTGAACAACATTCTTCACTTTGGTTTACGTGGAAGACAGGAGCATCAAACAATGTTGTGGGGAGATGTAGAGCTACTTACAACTGCATCAGGGAGAGAATACTTAGCTTTTACAGAGAGACTGACTAAAACAAGAAACGGCATCGCTAGTGACCCAAGGGATTTTGTGCCCAAAATGTTCGCACAACCAGGTTTGTGAGTTTTATTATGTATAAACCGATGAAATTGGTGTTTTACTTATACATTGTATATCGTATAAATGATATCAAAATCGTAAAAATCGTAATCTATATTAACAATCTTCTAAATAGACAGGACATACACAGCTCATGTTAAAACTTGAAAACAACTCAAAACAAATCAAATTTAATCTAAAATTTCGCAAACATTTTAACTATGAAAAAAACTGTGTTTTATATTGATGGTATTGACTTAACTATCTTTGAATGTGCTTTGTAGGAGACAAGGACTGTCCAGTAGAAATGTACAAACGATATGCAGAAAAGCGCCCAGACAAGATGAAGACCCCAGACTCTAGGTTTTTATGTTGGGTTGAATCCTAACTACAAGCCAGGAAGTGACATAAGCTGGTTCATGAATTCGGCGATGGGCAAAAACAAGTTAGGAACAATTGCAAAAGTCATGTCAGAGAAAGCCAAACTGCCTGGTAGACATACTAACCACAGTGGGAGGAAAACAACTGTTACAGAGCAACTAAGAAATGAAGTACCAGCAATTCATGTTGCCAAGTTGGTTGGACATAAAAATCTAATGTCACTAAACTCTTATAACACCATGTCTATAGAGCAACAGATAACAATGTCTGATAACGCACACGCATTAAACAAAGTAACTGCATCAACATCTACCATTGCCAGAATGGAGGAGCAAGAAATGGCTGATACCGAGTTGGACACCGAGTTGTTAGCCGCATCTCAAGAAATCGAAGAAGCATTAAACAACATTGAACAATTTGAGAAAAGTTGTGAAAATAGTAGTGGCGCACAGGTTCTAAATCTCCCTATAGTTCATCATCCAGATGGAACATTAAGCACATGTATTCGGGATAAAGAAACATCTGGCAGAAAATTTGATCCAAGTCGAATGTTTGTAAATTGTACATTCAATGCTTCAGTACAATTTGTGCTTAAATAGAGACTGAAATTGGACATATTACATAGAAATCGAAAGAAGAAACTATATCTTTCTTTATTTTTATTTTCTGTGATTGCGCATGAAAGAGACGCTTACTTTGAATCAGTTATTTATTTATTTCACTATTATATTGTTTAATACATGAACTGTGGATTAACTATATATTTTATCTGCTTAAACATACATTGAAATATCTATTTTCAAGCAATTAATAAATATATTATAACAATTACTTTATTGCTTGATTTTATTCCAGTCTGAAAAAATGCTGCGGAACATATGCAATAAACAGGTCATTACATTTGGCAAGTGTGCCTTTAGTCCATATTGGCACACTTGGTTCGAATTTGCCCTCGGGCTAAAGCCCTCGGGCAAATAAGTCACCAAGTGTGCCAATATGGACTAAAGGCACACTTGCCCCATGTAATAACCTCTACATATTTCACCGAGTGAGCACCAAAAGGTATATTTCACGAGTGGCGCAGCCACGAGTGTAATATGAACTTTTGGTGTTCACAAGGTGAAATATATTTCGATCTTACACTAAACTAAACAAATTTTCTTTTTATTATATGCAAAGAAACGTTTTAAAAAGACATTAAACCTAATACTGAATGAAAAGCGCGCCAAATAATAATACAACGTGACGTCATTTACGACGTCACGTCATTAAGTTGGTACCCAGTTCTGTGCACGCTGTACCCAGTTCTGTGCACGCTGGTATTTCCCTGAAACAACGTAAGGGGCTTAAATTCAAAACAGTGAAATTATCAAAGTGGTAATTTCACTGTTTCAAACAGTGAAATTACCAGTTTTATATCACTGATATATTTCTATAAACCACCGAAAAGCATGTAATAAATAGCAATATTTTTATCAAACAGAATCCATAATGATTAACGTCATGTGATTTTATTATTAACATATAAAATATCCTCAGATCAATATGGCATCAGTATGGCATTACAGTGAAATCTGATACATTGTACCCCTTTGCTTTACCTTTTGATTTTCCATGACAACACTGTTGTTGTTGTTGTTGTTTAAACTGATATACATAATTCATTTTTTTTGACCATCAACTGTTATGTTTTCACTTGTGGCTATACAACTCATGAAATAACTGCATGTGTTCACTTAGTGAAATATATTTCAATTTCACAATGAAGTAAGCAAATTGAAATTCCATTGATATCAACATTTTATTAAAATACAAAACAAAATAAAATCTCTGAAAAAAATAATTATTGACCATTATTACTGTAAAATTCCTATTAAATGCCCCAGGGAGCTAAACACTTTCCCAAAGAGGGCCTTTTATTAAAACACAATTTTTCCCAAATCCAAAAATCATTGTAAATAAGTTTAGTATTAAACAAGTGTTGGTAATAACATGAAAAAGTGTTTAACTTTTTAAAGTGTGTGAACATTTTTGAATTTACTATAAAATAAAATGAATTCTGAAGGATTTGAATAAAATTATGTATTTACTCATGAGTTCAGCACTGATGTGTTAATTTTTTCCATTTCAAAAAACCTGGGGGTTGGGGCCTTTATTAGGGGAGGGGCAGTAAATAGGAAATTTATGGTATGCTAAGTATCCTATGTAGACTTGTCCATATTTTAGTCTACACATAAACCGGGTTATTATTTTCACGGAAAATTTCTTAAATAATGTACTGACTGTAAAGCGAACAGTGCAGACGAAGATCAGCCAGCACACCATGGTCTGCACTGGTTGCATGGATAGCCGCCCTGTAGGCCCTCCCAGAATAGAAGATCTTTACTTACAAACTTGCCATGTGGCCCGGAAACCAGCTCTTGTCACTGAGGCGTCAGATACGAATTTCACGTAGAGAACATTTTGTGTTGTTGTTAACGGTACTGGCATTGCATCACCACAGTAACGTCCCATCAGTGGCGCATTTTCGTTACTTCCATCTCGAACCTGTACAGTAATGATAATTATAAAGATAATTATATTATCAATATTGATTATAATCAAACTTATGATAATAATGAATATGAATGCTAAACCTATAATGATACAAATGATATTATTGATATCTGAATACTTAAACAACTAATGATTATAAATAATATTAACATTTTTAACCATTCACAAAGTATATTACATTTAAAACAAAGATAAACTGCCCTTAACTAAACAGAAAGTAAAATTGAAAAACATAGAAATGCTTTTTACTCAAATCGGACTGAGAATAACACAAACAGAAAGTTTTCAATGTATTT